AAGAGGGTGGAAGGGGGAGAGAGAAGGGAAGCTGAAGCTAGAAGACGAGCGAGAGAGAGAGAGAGAAAAAAAAAGAGAAAGATAGGAATAGTGTTGTTCTATCGAACGGCGGGAAACGAACGCGAGGCAAGGCTGAGAGAAGGAACAGTAAAATTGTGGAGAATGTGCACGCGCCATCATCAGGGTGGCCTAGATTCAGCCAAGACCTGCTTTCTAGGCAGCATTTCTCTTTATCATCGCGCGAACGCGATGTATAGGCGAACCGTTGCTCGATACGCGGAGAAAACCTCGCGCCTTGATGATGATGATGATGATGATGATGATGCCACGCTTATATGCCTGTCTCTCTCTTTCTGTCCACGAAAGATTCGCATTAAACTCGCGATTCTTGAACGAGTCGATGCTAAATTCTTATATATCGCAATCGTACGGAATATTTTTTCCGAAACAGAAAATTCGAATAAAAAATACCCTGGTATATACAAGGTGTCCCAGATAAGTTTTTAATGGCCCTCATTTTTAGCATGTTCCCAATTTTTGTTATTATGTGTCTTTAAAATTCTATTGAAGCAAACTCTATTTAAAATTAACAATGTAGTTCTGTTAATATTTTATTTCCACAAGACTTGGTTTCCAAAAAAAAGTCTTCATTTTCAACTGCGCTTAATTCGAAAATTATATTGGCGTCTCGACAAAATCGTCTCCGAACTTTTTCGCCAATTCTGTATATTCGACATGTAATATTTGTCGATCGCGAAGATGATCGCGACATTAATTGGATCGCGGAGGAAAAATCGAAAAATGAATGTTTCGTGCAAACGAAATCGAGTACTGAGTCTAACAAGCTCTTATCGCGACACGACGAATTTATTAACGTCGTTAACATCGCCTGACAAGAAAGAGAACCGGAGGGAGGGCGTGTTAATAACATAATCGCGCGGTAATACGACTGCGAAACTTTGCCGATTCGTCATCATCAATCATCGGCGATTTTCTCCCGTATTTGACAATCATTTAATTACCGATAAACCCGTTTACCGCGCGCACGGATACGAAAATGCTCCCCTGTACTTTTCGTCGTGTCACGCACCACGATCGACACGCGATGCAGCGATCGTCGTCGTGTAAAGGGTGAAATATACGTATACGACGATCGTCAACAATGTTACACGCCAAGCACACCTCGTCGAGAGATGCGAACAGACAGATGAAACGTGTGCCACTAACATTGGAAATCTGTGGATCCCTCTATTGTGAAATCGATGTTTCCGCGATATTATTCCCCTATCAAAGTCAGTCTATCCACTATTCATATAAGAATATAAAGAGATTCTGTCGCGAATAATGGATTATTAATTTATATCGTTTTATGAAACAGTGGTAGTAATTAAGATATATTAACTATTCATTTTCAAAATTATATGTATATACACAGAGAGAGATTTTCTTTTGGAATTTAGTCTGAAAATCATGGTATATATATAATCGGTAAAGTTTCTCTGATTAAAATATTATAAATAAATGGTAAAAATATTAATATCTATCACAATAAGATATAAAATATGTTCGATTAATTTTAGTATGTATATACAGATTAATATTTTTTATTATGATAAATATTAATCAGAGAATCTCTAAAAATTCTTATTATTCCACAATTATCATAATTTTCAGGGTAAATTCTAAGAGAAAATTCTCTGTGTATTGTTGATTTTCAATAATGCTTATTCTTCCTTTGCTCGTTTCGTCACGAAGAGAACAAAATTAATGCAAATGTCATTAATTAATTCTTATTTCTTGATATCAGTTATAAAACAGCGGTATAATTAAGACATTAACTATTAATTTTATATATACCTATATATATATATATATATTTTTTTTTTAAGTATAGGTCGTTGTGGTAAATATTAATATTTTTTATTTGTACTAAATATTAATCGGCGAAATTCTTTCAGAGAACATTTTTCGATACCACATTGTCCTACGATTACCATGATTTTCAGGGTAAATTCTTATCTATATAATAATGATCTATATAACGAAACGGAATAAAAACAGTACAAAAATGTTAATAATTAATTTTGTCAAGACTCACTTTTCGAGAAGCAGTACGCAAACTCTCTTTCGACTCTTGCGATATCATCAGCAGCAAACTATCGTACGAAATCTACGTCAGAGCGTTGCGAGCGATTTACTTTACTGACTCTCGCGTACCGCGATTTCCACCAGGTAGAATAGACCAAGTTTCTCTCCTCGGGTACCCGTATAATTTCCTTTTGGACCCACCGCGTGTCGAGAGAGATTAAAACTCCGCGTAAACTCTCGGCTTCTGGCGCGAGCGGATTGCTTGCAGATATCCCGCGCATTCGTAATCGACGATTATTGGACGGGTATCGCGCACGTGACCTACCGTAACACGGGTGACAAGGCGGTTTCGAGGCGGACGAAAACCGCGTGGCTTTTAAGCGCGCGCGCTTTTAATTCATCCGTTCGCGACAGCTCGTTTTTGTAAGATGCCTTTTATATGCAGCATGCTGCAGCAGCGAATCAGTCACATGATCCAAATTTATTCGAGCGCATTTCTTTGTTCTCGTATTGTTTCAAAGTTATAAAAGTACAATTTTTGCTTTTATTTTTTCATACTAATCTATTTTATTCTTAAAATCCATTATTTAACTAATATAATAATAATAATTAGAATCGACTAGTTGCGTGTTCTTCCGCTTTGCTGCCTTTGCTGTTCGTTCAACTGAACTTTATCAATAGCAACAAACTGCTGCGACAGTATGCTATACACATGAAATGGTACTTTCAAGCGCGAGGAACCTTATGCGATGTATCGTATCTTTACTTATTGTTAGTCATGTGTCTATGTATATACGAGTGCAGCTGTGTAGCCACCGAAGCACCCTGAGGTCAAAACAAAGCGGCTTCGTCTGTGGCCAGAGAGGAAAAAAATGAGGAAAATCATCGAACGATCGATAAAGCCGTCGATTTTTCTCCTCTTAAATGAGTGATTAATCGCGCCGCGAATACATGTATCTCGATGTATCTCGATTTTTTATTAAAAATCAGAGAGAGAGAAAGATTTGCTGATAAATTAAATTGATTTTTCCCATAATTAGGAAAATATTTTACAAATTTGTAGATCATTTTTTACACGTGTATACATTTCTGAAATTTTCTCATCATTTTCGTGATTCCCTGTTTTCTATGGATTTGAATAAACTAGATAACCCAAGAGAGATACGCTGAGAATTATCATTAATCTCGCAGCTTGGAAAATTTCAGATTAATAAGCTCGTTTCGAAACAAATCTGGACGTGAATATAGAATGGAAATTTTCTCCGAGATTTGCAGTCACTGATCATTTCTAACATCAAACATCGCGTATACGCAGAATTTTACGCACGTGAACGGTACTGTCGTGCACTCGCGTCTCGCAATTGGCTCATTGACTGGCGCACTTGTCCAGGAAGCACGTGGCCGTATTGATAATGAAAAAGAAAAAACAGAGATACGGCCACGCGCCTCGGCGAACACAGCCTACCCTATCTAACTTGTTTACAAAACAAATTTCGGCGCGTCAACGCGTAGTTGGGGAACATTCACGTCGTGGCAGACGACAGAAAGCACTCGACAACGATATATATATATATAAAATATATCTCAGAGAATCATGCATGATCGTGACAGTTCTTACCTTACCATGACCTGACCCACAAATCAAATCGCAGCTGCAGCAGCAACGCTGAGGACGATCCGAAGAACCCTCGCGTTGCTTCAAGGTTCCGAGGGATGAGATAGGCACACACTTTCGTCGTATCAGATGATAAACACAAACAAGACGGGTGTCCGGTAGCGGGGCGCGCGAAAACGAAACGAAACGAAACGAAACGAAACGGAAGGACCTCGCGGTCGAATGACGTATTTACTCGCGTATTCACGCGCACGCACGCACGCACGCAAGCTGTCACGCATTCACAGCTCGTGTCAGTCGTCGCGAGCGAGAGACACACGCACTCACGTTGGCCACTGGCAGCTGTCACTCACGGATTGCCCGTGAAAACGTCGCGGGCCGAAGTGGCATAGCGAATCACGGGGAGACAAGAGAGACAACGGGAGAGACGGCGAGAGAGAGGGAGAAGGAGAAAGGGGAGGAAGGGGGATAGAAAGAGAAAGAGAGAGAGAGAGAGAAAGCGAGGAACGTGCATGCACACACGCTAGGGGGCACTGCGATGGCGGCGACGAATGGGCTATGCTCCGCTGCGGACGGTGGCGCAAAGCGATTAAGCGATTTTGTTGTGGACCCCGATTCTCTTTCCTTCGTTCGGCTCTCTCTTCCCGGCTTTCCACTTCTCCTCTCCTGTCGCCTTTCGCCTCTCCCGCGCCGGCCCGGCTACGCTTACGCCGCGAACGCGCTCTAGAACGGAAACCCGGCTCTTTACCACCACCACCTCGAGAGCGCCCTCCCCCACCCGGCCGGCCAATACCGCCACGGTGTACGTCACGGCGCCAGGACCGTCCTTTTCGGAGACGTCCTCGTGACCTCGAATTTTAATCTCGCAAATGCGTAGCCGAGGGCGTTTACGCGCGAATTTCGTTTCCCGCCGAAACATGTTTCGACAATTAAAATGATAATGATTTTAGTTTCTCATATACATATAATTTAGAATAATAAATCGAGATATGAATTTTTGAAACACATATATATCCTCTTCTAACGGTAATTCTGATATTGTCAATTAATCGCGGTATCGATATAATCTCTCAACAAGAATCGCATCGATCGTATTAAATGCGCGCGAAAAATAATACGGCCACGGGTCACGTGACGCGCGCGGGAACCCGGCTGCCGCGCGACTGCCCTGCTACGCTCTCCTTTCGCTCCCACTCGCGCGCGGCGCTGGATGCGCAGTAGACGCGTCGGCGCGTTCTGCGCAGCGTCTGGGGGCGCTGCGTCACGGGGACGAATCGTTTCCGTGCGCGGTTACCTTCCCGCAGAGACTCCATCGATCGTAAGCGCGGGCACGGCCATTGTGTAAAAAGGATCCATGACGCTCGGATAGTGCGCGCTGAGGAGCCGGACGCGTAGTCTCCCCAAGTTCGTCCTCTTGTGATATTTAGACTGTGCCAATATTTAGGTGAGTACACGAAGCAATCTCGACGCTTGTTGTTGTTTCGCTGCTTGCTTGCGCCCCGGTTATCGTAAATCGGATTACTGAAAATTCCCCGCGGAAAATCAGGTCGCGTTCTCACGCCGCCATCCCGCGTCCTCGCGGTCTCACGTACGTCGTCTACGCGGAAAAATCGCGCATCCGAACGTACGCGTCGTCCGCGAATGTCGGACGCGTTTAATTTCGAAAGCGGCGCCGGATCGGAATTTTCCCCGAGCTTTTTCGAGGAATTTCTCGCCATCTTGTCTGTGCGAGAACGGCTAAGTCGGCCATTACGTATCGAGAGATTTTAGGCCGGTTCGTGACGTCGCGCGATGACGCGGTCCGATTTCTACCACGTTTCGCCCGCCGGCGAAAATCCATCGTTCGCCTTTCTCGTCTACACTCGTACGTTCCTTCAAAAATGCGAAGAGATTGAGATCCGTATATATAAGCGTCAGATTTGGCGAGAAACGACGGCGGAGGTTATTGCACTTTAAACGGCGTATTTCTCGAATAAAAAAATGACGCTCCGCGATTTCGCCTTCAAAAGCGCTTCGGGTAAATAAAAATGTATGCCGTAAGGGCGATATGAAATTAATAAAATTTGGAACGAGATGTGGTGGATTTACATTTGTGATGCAAAATAAAATCCGAACGGTATATTTTTTTTTTATATTTCGCTATTTGTAAATGTACAGTTCCGGCGAATTAAAGCAGACGCGCAATATTATGCCTATAACGATGCGAGCTGATTGTTTGCAAATTTCGTGACGGTTTTCTTTAATTGGGCAATGACGAGCGAGAGAGAGGATCTATCGGTTTTTGTTACATAACATAATCCTTATTATCGCGTTGCACGATTATCTGCGGTCGCGTCGTTCACCGCAGTGATGTTTGTTAAATTATTTGTCCCTAATTTGTGGCTGCATTTCGTATTCCGCATTCGAGGGATTGCATTTTATCGAATCGATATAATAGAAAAGTGATTGAGGTCGCGCGCAAAAGAGAGAGAAATTCGGGAAAGCGTCGGCCATGACGCCTGTTTAAATACATAACGCGAGATGAAAAGCCGGGGAGAAGGAACGTCCGCCATGATTATTCGATGTGAAATTTCATGAATTAACATAATCGCGCGAAATTCATGTTCGAGCGATTTATTTGACAGATGAGATTTCGTTGGAAATAAAGTTGGCTCGAACGAATTTTTTCAATCTTTTTTTTTTTCCACAATTGTTTGTTTTGATCATCGGAATGCGATAAGCATCGACGAGGATTGGAATTACGTAAAAGGACGCGATGCAAATTCGATGCAAAAGGGCATGTAATTCCTTGACAGGTGGTGTGTTTTCATGCGTTTTTTTATTGCGACAATTTATTTCGACGTTTGGAATTTATTGCGTAATCAGATTCCGACCTGCCTTTATTTACCTTTGGGATTAAATAAGCAATTGAATAAACGGTATCAGTTCAGGTAAAACGGAATCGAGCTTTTTTATAACAAATTCTAACAAACAACGATTGTTAGATACATTGATACGTACATTATATATTGTTTATACGTTACACAAATAATAATTTAATATTTAATATTTTAAAAATATATAGGAGGGAAATATATGTAAAATATAAAAAATATTAAAAATTAGGAATTATTTGTTTAAAATTTATTTTTTATTTATTTTAGAATTCATCTTTTATATCCGGATAATAGTTTCCAAATATTTTTGAATGTATTTATCGTTATACAAATGATAATTTAATATTTTAAAAATATTATATATGAGAGAAATATATATGAAATATAAATAAAATTAAATCAAATACTAGAAATGAATTATTTGTTGAAAATTTATTTATTTATTTTAGAATTTTTCTTTTATATCCGGAGAGTAGCTTTCAATTTTTTGTATATATTACCATTATACGAATAATTTAATATTTTAAAAATATATGAGAAATATATATAAACTAAAAATAAAATATTAAAAATGAGAGGAATTATTTATTTAGAATTTATTTTAGAATTATTTTATACCCGGAGAATGTTTTTTCGAATTGAACAGTTGCAGACAGAAATCACAATCAAGATAGAATTCTGATAAGATGCCTTTAAAAGAGAGTATATATAACTAGATTTTAATATATATTTCCATTATTGACTTGATGTTCTCTGCAATTGTAATTATCAATCGTCCAATTATAGAATTTATAAAACCGTAACGCAAAGCAACAACATAGCTTTTGATATATTATTAGTGCAAAATTTCAATTAATAATTAAGTAAATTTCTTGCAAATATGTAGTGGTCAATTAACTTTTAGCTAATTTTGAAATATTAGGAAGATGATTGCATATCATTTTGCTTTTTCATTACTTATAGTTTTTTATAATGCGTTGTATACAAGAATTATAATGAGATTTAAAAATAGCAAAATTATAATTTCACATTGTGCTGAATCGAGGACGAATATAAATTCTCGCGTTAAACTTATTTTAAGCGAATTCGATTTTTCTCAAACAAAATTGATTCGAAAAAAATATTATGTGCTATTGAAAATTGATCTGATTAACATATTATAATCGAGACTTTCTTTTCTAAAAAATCACTCTATATCCAATTGGAGAATTTATGATGTGTCCAAGGATCTCTAAAGAAATTCTAGAAATTTCTTGAAACATTTTTCTCTTCGTAAATATCGAATATACGTTTTATTCCGCGGGCCGGTAAGAAAAAACGAGTCCCGCAATTTTGTTGGCCACCAACACATTCGCGGTATTTCGGCTTCGCCAGCGTCTCAATGCTATTCCAAATCACGTCGCAATAGCGAAATTTGCGTGGTCTGCGCATGCGCGTTGTTTTCCTGTTTTTCCTTCCTGCTCGTTCCGGGACGCGTCTTGCTCCGATTTGCGCGAAACACGCCTGCGCCCTCTGACGGCGGCCCGCAGCGGCGAGGCTGAAAGGCGTTGAGCCACGCCATAGTTGAAAAGGACAGCGCACGAGGCGGACGCCGGGGTCTGGACGTTCCACGCCGTTTTACACTTTTCACCGACTCCATTGCTGTGATATTAGATTCTTTTATATCTTCCTTATTAGGTGAGTGAGCTCGACGTTCAAATCGATATCCGGACGCGCGTCTTTTTCACCGCGAGAATGACGAAATAATCGGGACGACATGGCGCGGCGGGCGGTTCCGCGAGATGGCGAGTGTTTTTTCTTGTTTCGGAGAGACGGGAAATGCGCGTCGTTTACGGTGGCATGCGAATTTCCCGCGTGAATCAGCGGCCGTTTGCGAGATTTCTCCGCGCTATTGTCCAGACGCGACTGCACGAAACGCGGGGAATTCGCTCGGAGTCCTCCCGAGAGTGCGCACGCGCGCGCGCGCGCGTCCATCCATCCGAGATCGATCGCCGTGGTTTTCCTCTTCTCGCAAGCTTTTCACTCGTCGCCATTTTGTCCCGGGCACGACCTCGCCGACCGCCATATTGCCGATCCACGTCTCTCGACTTCGATGTGGTTTCCAGGGATATCTCGCGTCGTCGCGCCACGATTTCCTCCCCTCCGCGAATTTTTTTTTGCTCTCTCTCTCTCTCTGTCGGCTTATCTTACTCGCTCCGACAATAGATGGGTTCTTTGTAGCCGGACGTTTGTTGCATTTTTTTTCCTCGACTTATCCAACTTTGTTTTTTTTTGTTTTTTTTTTTATTTTTTTTTATTATATGTATACGTTAGGAATTTTGTCTACGAAGGACGAATCAAAGATTACCGATGTAAGAAATATACGATATAATAACGTAACGTGAATTATATTTTCGGTAGTGACAGGAATATTTGGAAAAAAAAAATCATTTGTCAACAATTTGTTTCGTGCACACACGTTGCCGCTCGATACATCGTCTGACGTAACCCGCTCTCTTGCGCGAGATAACAATATAAATAGATTATGCAATCGCATGTAGGCCGAGAAGCGACGTCTCTCTCTCTCTCTCTCACGATATAGCCATATCTCCTCGCGGTACTTCGCGACTGCGTACCTCGCTCGATTTCCCCTACGCTGCAGATATGTCCAGTTCTCTCCCAGTATTCCCCACCAGGTCGCGAGCTGCGTGATCGATTTTCCGTATTTATTACGCGTCGCTAATACAAATCGCGCGCTGACGTAAATCGAGTTAGACCTCCTCCGATTTTATTACTCGCGTCTCGGGGCGGTGACGCGCGAGAACCGCTGATACGTCATCATGAAAATGCGTGAGCGATCGTGATTCTTCGATCCCTTCTTACACGGTTTCGCAACAAGTTCAAAGTGTCGGCTACAAGGTATACATTTTTTTTCTCTTTTCTATTAAGTTATTTACGTTTTCGGCGTTAACGGTTTTACGATTTTCGCGTTAGAAAATCGAGATTTTTTTCTGGGAAAAAAAAAAAAATCTGGTGACCCGGTCGAGACTGCGCCAGCAGTAGCCGCCCCTGGGTCCCAGGGGCCTCCGCCGTTGTTGCGCAAATTGTGCGCGCAGCCCGGACGTCGCAGCTGCGCGTGCGCGGTGCTTGCGCGTCCTCCTGCATCATCCCCACCAAATAGCAGTTCGTTACCGTTACGAGACACGCACAAAGGCCAGAGGAACGATCTGACCGACGCGCTTGCATCGCACACGGCCATTTTGGAAGCTTCGGTGCTTCGTTGCGGAGCTTTTTCGGAGCCTTTGTCGTCCTCCCGCGAGAGAGCCGCGTGCCAAGAGGAGAGAAGAGGGATCGTTTAACCGGAAGTCGAAAGGCGTACTTGATCGGGTACGTCGTCCGGCTCCGATGTGCGCGATAATAATCGGCCGCGGGAGGACGAGATAGCGTCGGGTCGATCGATAGAACGTAGAGGAAGATACGGAAGGGGAGAGAGAACAGCTCCATTTCGCACTCGTATGTTATCCGGTTCTCGTTCGTTGGTTTTTCTTTTCTTTTTTTTTCTTTTTCTTTTTTTGTTGATTCATCGTTCGTTCATCGACAACATTTTACCTGTTTTTTCTTCCGTCTGCGCAGAAACGAGGAAACGAAGCCAGAACTACCATGGAGGACGACCAGCAGTTCTGTCTCAGGTGGAACAACCACCAAAGTACGCTCATACAAAACTTCGACACACTCCTCGAAAGCGGAACGCTGGTCGACTGCACCTTGGCAGCGGAGGGGAAGACTCTGAAGGCCCATAAAGTAGTCCTCTCCGCGTGCAGTCCATACTTTGAGGTGAGTGAAGCATTCTGTTTATCATTATCTAATCCTATCTTATACCGAATTCTATGAGGTATCAGTCTTTTTATACGGTATAGTTTTAAAAAGGTACGCACACCATTTTTCAAACATGTGTGTCAGCTATGAATTCTCTCTTATATTTTATATTAATCTGAAGAATAAGTTCATTAATGTAATTTATGAGAAATTCTATTTATTTTTGCCTGTATTTTTCTGCTATAATAATTATAGAGTAATATTTGTATCTGATGATATAGAGAGAGAGAGAGGTATAGATGCAATATAGTGTTTAAAAAGCAATATTTATAGTTTCGTTAAAATTCATGCTTGCAGTTTATCAGTTCTTAGCGAGAATGTGAGTTAAAATTGGAAGGAATTATGACATAAGATAATTGTGTCTCTAACAAATTATAATTTTGTACCATGAAGCTTTTCCGGTTGCTTCTTTGTCCCGTTGGCACCGTTGGGTTAGATCAATACGAAATACTTTGGTAGAGAGTGAGATAGAGTGTTGAGAAGCGTTGGGAGGAAGGGAGAGAGTCTCAAGTTGAAACAAGATGGCCGTGCTTGTTGCCTGGGCAGGAGTGTATAATGTGCAGTGGGTGGGAGGGGAAGGTGGGGAGCCAAAGCCTGTGTAGCCCCCTCCTAGGTTTCCTCTTGATCAATACAGGGAAAGCAAGATGGCTGATTTCCAGGGCACTTGCCCTGGGATTTTATCCTGATATGGGTGGGGATGCAGAGATGCTATTGCAGTAATTGAATATCATGAAAATTTAATATTGTACTTGAATTGAATCTACAGTTTCAGAGAGATAGTACTTTATATTCTACGCTTTATATGAGACTAATGCTTTCTTTCAAATAAATTATTTGGTTTATAATATAATATTTAAATTTGTATTTATAAAAATGTTTTTATACATACTTGTGTCTTATAATACAAAAAATTACTGGGGTTATTTCATGTCTAAAATTCATGCTACATGTAACGCATAATGAATGCTTTGATTAAAAGAATATGTATTTTTATGTTACAGTGCCTCCTCAGCGAACACTATGACAAGCATCCAGTCTTCATACTCAAAGATGTTAAATTCAAGGAACTTAAGGCGATGATGGATTATATGTATAGGGGGGAAGTCAACATTTCCCAAGACCAATTGGCAGCACTCCTCAAAGCCGCTGAGTCTTTGCAAATTAAGGGCCTTTCGGAAAGTAAAACGGCTGGTAGTAGTAAGACAGAGTCCAGACCACAGAAAACCGTCTCACAACCAACAGCACCATCGTTAGACATTCCACACGCGTCTTCCGGTCTGACGATAGAAAAGAACAAAGTTCCTAGGCAAAGTATGGCACAAGCTCCTGTGGGGGATTTACCGGAGGATACGGCTAGTCCTCGAGAGCCGAAGAGGCTCGGCTCGAGGTGAATATTTCAAGAAATAATAGTTTTTAATTGCATTGTAATTTTTACATCCGATTATAATTTTTCCTACTTTTAAAACATTTGTAAAAATGATTTTATTTTTTTTTTATCAAGTAGAGAAGGCTCGCAAAGTCCAACCACGAGAAAAAGAACCAGGTTTCGAAGAAGAAGTTTGGGCGAAGATAATACGATAGAGAACCAAGATGCATCGAATTCCAGTGACATGCCTCAACAAATGGGTGTGCCGGCGCTTGGAATCGCGCCTGTGGCAGACGAAAAAGTACATTCAGATCCAACAGATTCTCTCGGCAGGTCAGCTTTGATGACGCAGCTGACGAAACCCGCCGACGAGATGTTACAGGTAAAGTGTTACGAATTCGTCTGTTTGTCTTTCTCTCTCTTTATTGCGCGCGCGTGCCAACGCTATAGTAGAGGCTGTCGCCAATGGGGCGGTTTCTTTCGCTTCGTTGGTAAAGAAAAATTCGTACTTTATCCTACTGCTTTGGTTTTATCCACGTTGCAGTGTGGAAACGGTGTGAGACATTTTTTCCTTTTATTGCAAACTTAATTTCTTCTGTAAAAAGAGCTCTTACGATATCGCAACTTTTAACATGTCTTAATATTTTGTAGCTGCCACTCGAAAAGCCCGAGCCAAATGATAATCTCATCGAGCCAAAGTCTGAATACCTAGATGAATCTGAGGAATGCGTCGAAGACCTGACGCTGGACGACGATATGAACGATCTAAATGACATGGAGCAGGATAACAACCGAGCTGGACCATCTCACGACTCCGCCCAACACACCTGTAAGTTTGCAATTCTTTCCATTATATTACAATTGTTTATTATAATTTTTGGTTTTATCGTAGCGGAATACAGGGTTTATTTATCTCAATTAGACGATACAAATTGTAATGACGTGCGTTTAAACTTGCGCATCGTTAAACCGCGTCTGAGTATGGAGAAAATACATACAGCGGATAATTACATTCTATATGAAATTTCATGCTCTGGAGAGAGAGTCTCAACGACAGTAGCGAATCTTCGATCCAAAAAACTTATTTGGATCGAAGCGGAGCTTAACGTCTAGTACAGTGATTGGACAGTGATTCTTGAACATGAGTCGCGATATAATATTGCCAGTCGTGATAAATCGTGTTTCTCTCGGTTGGCTCGTAAATTAGGGAAGGGCTTATGTGTTGAACGAATGAATAGTTTTGGTGTCGCGAAGTCGTTTCGTTGTTTTGTTTGTTATCTGTTGAAGCGGGACGTGTGTAACAAATTGGCCGACACTAGCTTGGGTTTCCTCGTTGCAGGTGGGGGGGCGGGAGCGCGGTCTCGGTCGAGAGGGAATTTGGGTAGTGGTGATGGTGGTGCCCTATGGGCTTCGCATTTCCTCGAATGTAAAAAAGTGCCAAACATGCGGCGGCCGCGCCCGGACGTTGACGTAGGCGCGTTGCTTAAATCACTGGCAAGCAAGCAGGGCAGAAAGTATAGTTTAGACTCGGTTAAAATGTCCCTGGAGGCAATATTACAACAGGGCGTTAGCACCACTCAGGCATCCGAGATGTACGGCATTAATCGCTCAACACTGCAGTTCTATTTGAAAAAATTGAACGTCGTCAGAAGGAGATGGAGGCAACAACCTGCTAGTACCCCCTCGGTCCAGCCTAGACAGACTTAGTCTACGCACGCGAATATTGTAATGTCACACGCATCGTACTCTTCTACGTCGAGTCTGAGCAGCCAAGATTGTCAGTATTAATAGTCGCCGTGTAATTTCGTTTACAATATTGGAGACTGATAGAAATTTGGGAAATTTTCTTAGACCGTTCGCACAAATGCTTTATAGAAAACATGCACATTGCTGACAGATATTCCTCCTTTATATTCGCATTTGGACGTTAAAATTATTCTGAAATCGAAACTCACCGACAAGAATCACTTCCAAATTGTTTTAACGATAATTCAACGATGTGTGAGTCGAAGTAAGGCAAAGCGATACGTACAAAGTATTTGAATTTCAACTATCAAGTCAAACTATCAGTATTATTTAACTGTTTAAGTGTTACGTGTAGACTAAGTGTAGATTGTTTAAAATTTGTGTGATTGCGATCTATATGTGTGTATCGTGAGAATGTGCGCGAATATGACGAACTGCGGAACGGATGTGTATGTTATTCCGCGTAATTTGCCAAATATTACTTGTTGTAACGAACCGTGAATATAGAGGGTCGATTAGGAGTATATTGTGTAATATAAATGTATCTTAAGCACTCCCACTGTATAAGGGATCATTGTGCAATTTTCCGATCGTGAAGCCCTGTGTTTCGCTGCGTAATTTCTTGATCGATCTTACATATGTGTCCTCAAATATTTTTGTTCCCCTTTAAAAGAGTTTATGTGAATAAAGTACCCTTCATATGTATATTCCTAGGATGTCATATTTTTTACGGACACATTAATTGTAAATCACTCGAGATTCCTAAAAAGGATCTCGAATGATTCACACAACTTAATTCTAATCTTTATTCTATTTACTCGATCGCAAACTCGAATCGCGATAAAGCAGATTCTAGTTTACGATTTTTCAAATAACGATGCATTTTCTGACGTAATTGTATCGTAAAACTTGTATAAGAAACAAACATTTAATTTGAATTTTACAACGAGACTTATCGAAGTGTGGTTGCCCTTTATTTTAGCAAGCCTTGCGTGGCACGTCACTGGTGACCGAAGTAACGCGGGGGGTGTTGTGGGCTCAGTGGCAGGAGGCGGGGACGAGGTGTTTTTAGCAGCTCAGGATGTCGCACAACAACAGGCTCAGCGCGACTCACAAGGTAGGCTCATCCTCGCCATTTTCCAACCGTCTCCGACCCCCGTAACAATAGGCACTCGTAATTGGCCCAACTCGCTAAAACTTGGAGCACGTTTGTCATGCGAACATCTCAACGTGAGAGAATATCAACTTCACAATGGTCAAATGCAAATTCGAGACAAATTTCTGATCAAGTCGAGTATAATACGTATAATAATACGCGTACTTCTTTGAATGAGCTCTCGAGAACGTGGAAAATTTCGAAACGTGATATGTATCTTTCTAATGTGGCGGGAACCGACAATGACTCATTCACAAGCTAGTACGCTTCTAAAAGTGTTTCAATATTAACGTGTACACAGCGAGTAACACACATCTGTGTGTGTGTATGTGTGTGCGCGCGCGTAATTATATGTGCCTATTGCGCAGGTGGGACGGAGCTTATTTTTCTTTCGCTGTCGATAACGTGGTTCAACCTAGATTCCGGTGCGTTCAAGTGTAGCACGGTCTCTGAAAGAGCTTTTTATTTTCTATCAGGGCATGTAGAGCTTTTCCGTTCAAATTCCTAAGTTCTTTATGTCTCTTTCTATCTTTTTTTTCTTTCTTAACGTAGCGTCGCGACGCGAAGTTTGACGTAAGACGAGTCGCGCGCCTTTTTTTCTCTCGTTTTTTTTTTTTTTTTTTTAAATTATATCAGCATCGATTTTCTATAATTGGTAATACGGTATTCGTTCTGTGACGCCGACTCGTCTTTGTTAGCCTCGCGATGCGCAACGCTGCGGCCTCTCTCTCCTCCGAAAGGAGTACGACGGCGCGAAGAGGACAGCCCGCAATTTGACAGGCGGGAACACGAGACTTAATCTCTCGTGTCAATTTCGCGCATTAAAAAAATCGAGATGAACAATAACTGTATCTTATTTCTGGATGATAGGCGACATGATAATCGGTATTATTATAACAGTAGATATAATAGTAATGCATATAAAATTATTCTTTCATCGCGAAAAATCTTTTATCATTTTTTTTTACATAAATGCGTTCATAGTAGGAAAAGATCTGAAGAGAGAACGAGAGAGAGGAGGGAGGGAGGGGCGAGAATGAGAGAGTAAGAATACGAAAATATAAGAATCAGTATATAGATCATAACATTTTTATTTAATTTATTCGGTTCGCATAAAACAGCGTGAACTATATCTATTATATTCGCGGGTTTTTATTAAACTTTCGATTTCTTGTGAACGACAAGATGCTTAAATAATGATAATTGATTTGTGATTAAAATTAATAAAAAGAATTTAAAAATAATTGAAGATGGAATCTCGACGGAATAAAATTTGAAACGTGTGAATATCTCAACATGAGTAGATAGATGAACAAATAGCAGGTAGATTTCTCTCGATGGTCCCTATCTTCGTAACCGATCCATTTAATTCAGGTTTATGAATTTTTACAGAATTGACTAAATAAGTGTATTCGACGATTATTATTTTTATTTACGTTCTCACAGAACCCGGGGAACCTTGAAACTTAAAACTCGCTATTTTATATTCGAATTTCGTTCGCAAAGCGGGAAGTCGTAGCTCAGCGTATTTAAACGATGGAAAAAATTTCGACGCGCATCCGGTTAACGTTATTTCCCTGTTGCTATGGGAAATTGAAGCCGAGGCAACGTGAGAATTTCACGGCGCGGGTAGGAATATAACGGGATCTCGTCCAGTCGATGTGTGAGTCATGTCCCGACTCCAATCGACTCGTTCTATGTTCTTCGAGAAATTTGATGCTGTACGGGAAATAATTTCAGCGGCGTTAGCTGCTGTCGTTGATCATTTTACGCTGATCCCTGCCTCGGACAACTCGAAGTTAATATCGTTCTATTTAACGCAGCCTTTGCAAACACTCGACTATTGAGTGACATCACATTTAGCGATGCTTGCCATATATATAATTAGAATCTGATTTTTTTAGACATATTACGCGATATTGCGTACGATACCGAATTCGTGATAATTTATGAAATATTATGATCTCCTCTTAGCAGGATTGATATTGAGGATATTATTAATATATAGATAAAATTAGAAAATAAAAACTTTGCACGAGAGATCAAACAAGACAAGGAAATATGTGTTTCTTTTCTCTTTTGATTATATTTAATTATTATTTTGTAATATATTGTCTTTTATCTTTCAATTATCTGTTTCCTTTCTTTCAGTTTGTTATGACTGTCCATATTGTTATCGTCCAGTTAGTGGACAATTTATCCCTCGTATTGATATACATCCAATTAAATGCGAAACCGTACAGAACAATTACAACTATTTGAAAATTGCATCTTTTACGAATTTCTCCATCGATAAACTTTTGAGATAGTAGCCATGAATATGAAGTACATGAACATATATACGTGTAATTTAGAAATCGTATTTTATTATTAGCAGACTGAAAAAATAGAATATTAGTTAGGAGATAAATTTACACAATACTTTACACTTTGATGTAAATGATTTTTACTCGCGTTTGCTCAAGTGTCACTTCAGGAAGATAAGATGGAAAATAATAGAATCATCTGTTATGATTTATATTGATGGCCTAGATTTGTCGCATAAGGACATTGAACCGCATATCAAGACGATGGTATAAGCACATTACATAACAATAAAATCACTGCAGCACCAATAAAAATCCAGTTCGATACGCGACTGTTTCTTCGGATATAATAGATATAGTATTTTACAAATACACAATTGTAATAATGAATATTAGACTGGTTACAAAATTTAATTTTACATCTATGTAGCGAGTGATATTTTCGAATAAATCAATCTGAATAAGGATCAAAATTAATTTAGGTTAATATATCCAAGTGAAAAAAATCAAATTCTCATAGGCATTTCTATATATAATATGTACTTATTACGTGGCACTTGAAGATAAAAATAATATCAATGACATCAGATTGGAGATAATATTAAAAAGTAGTTAGTGGAAATTATTACAAATTATTTTACATAAAAATATATATATACATGATATGAATATGTATGAAATTATTTCTACGAAGCATATTTTTAAGCTACGATGTTCATGTACATTGAATCTAAAATATTAGAAAAATGAATAGGTCTCGCAGATTTTAATATGAATGAAAAATAAAGATAGGTTAATTTTTTCTGCGTATTAAATTTTCCGTCTACGCGTGAAAGAGGTTGACCCTAGAAGAAATTATGAAAGGAAAGGATTTTTGCCAGCCGTCTTAGTTTGGCAACGTGTGTCGAGACGACAAAGCCAGCTGCGGCCTCGTCGTCTCGCTTGCATCTGCCAATCTACGACAGCTGTGCATTAGGCGGCAGATGATGCAGACCGGATGTCGATTGGCCACCTGGTGGCCAGGCGAAAATTGTGCGTATCGTCTGTCTGTCCTTAAAAATCCTTCGCGATTCGAGAAGCAAGCATCGTATATAATTCGGTGGAAAATCGGAAATCTCTCCCGCGCTATTTACAGCACCAATTATCCTCGCGAATCGAGATACGAGATTGAACTCGCAGTTAGATGACGTGGTAATGATTCTTCAGGACTAGATAGCTGGTAATCGACGCGATTATCGAGGTCATTTGATTTCACAATTCCCGTTAAAGTAACCTCATTATTTTGAGGCGCGATGAAGATAGACGAAGAGAGGACACATTGAGAGAGATATAGAGAGAAAGGAGGAAAAGGGAAATGATGCAAAAAATCGAAGTTTATTTTTATTATTAGTTTAGACAAGAGCAGGTTGTTTTTTTAAAGAACGATCGCGTGAATTTTGGGTTTTTTTTCAAGTCGTTTTCTAGGGTTACATGATCGCCCTAACGAGGTGATCCAACGTGGGAGACAAGGTAATTTCGGAGAGAGAGGAGCGACCTCTCTGTCAATGCTAGCGTTCCTAAATCTTGACTTCATCGTCAGATCTCGCGTAGTTTCTGACGTATAATACTGATGGTAATTTTCTTTCGCGATATACTTATTCGCCAGGTGTAATCGCGAGAGCTTTCTTTCGCTCGTCACAGCAGAGAATAAACATTTGACCCTCCATTTTTTTTACGCACACACATCGGTATCACGTCGCATACTTTGGAAGAAAGAAATATCGGACAGATGCTCGCATTGATAGCAAAGGTCGTTTTTTTTCACCGTCAGAGACTTGTTGCCTTGAATCTAGTTTCGAATCGTTTTTGAAGGATCAAAAAAAGAGGGGCCAATATAAATATTAAAAAAAAAAAATACTCCTTCGTGTGATTGTTTCTTTAGGCTCCATTGTCCTGAGAAAGCACGCGTTTTTCTTCCATTTTATTTTGAAGTTTCAATAAATTGCAAAAGCTCTCTCGTACACCTTTTTTTTCTGATTATCGCTTTGCATTCCGTATATCTCAATGCATATTATTAAGTCTTTCTTCGAGTCTTCGGTTCGGACGAGATGCCGAGCGCGCGAGTTTAGGACCGGAGTTGTGCCACGTTGTTCGCAGCGCGTAGAGAATTTCTTTTTTTTTTAATTCTCTCTCTCGTGAATTTCTGTCGTGGAAACACGAAAAGCGTTCCCGGCGACAAGACACGGGTAAAGGTAAACGCGCCGCGCACAAACACACACAAACACGCCTGTCCGAAGGAACGTTGCCGAAAGTGTGTCTCTTTAGACATTTTTTTTTCTCGTGGATGATCGCTAAATTTTCGACAACCTTCGGCCGTTTTCTTCTGGCAACAGTGAAACGATCGCGTTTGCCTCTGCCTAACCCGGGACGAGAGTCACCCTGAGATCCCAGATATATTGAAAGAGAACAAAGTCAGCCAGTTGTAGCCGTGACGTGTTTTTTTTCTTTGGTGCGAAAAAAATGATATATGTGTAACGAGGACGCGGGCTAAAAAGCCAACTAGATATATCTTCCTGTTCTTGAATGTCTTCACTAAAACACCGGTTCCGTCGACTTGGGATCAGCCGTACGCGAATTCTCCAATAGAATTTCACCCTCTGTTCTTCAATAGCGTTC